TTGATCCCTGGTACCAAAAAAAAAAAAAAAAAGATTAAAAAAACAATCAATCAAGCCCACCTGTAATCCCACTCAGAAGGCTGAGGCAGGAGAATCCCTGTGAGCTTGAGGCCAGCCTGGGCTACATATCAAGACCCTGTCTCAAAAGAAATCAATCAATCAGTCAATGAAGGACTTGGGATGAGGCTCAATGCAAGGGTCCTGGGTTCAAATCCCAGCACCGCCTCCCCCAAGATTCTTTTGAGATAGAGTTCCTCAGGTTGAGCGCAAATCTGGGGTCCTCAGCCTCCAGACAGCCCCCTTGGGATTAGAAGCATGTGCCGCTGCATCTGGCTCTTATATCTCTTTTTCCTCAGAAGATCAATTTGCTTTTGCACATTTTCTTTGGGGGAGGAGCTGGGGTTGGAACCCAAGGCCCTGCATATGCCAGGCAGTGTGCTATGCCAGAGCCACACCACCACCTTCCCTCCTTTTTATTTTATTTTTTATCAAGACAGGGTCTGGCTAGGTAGCCCAGGCTGGCCTCAAACCTGCAGTGATCCTCCTCCCTCAGCCTCCGTGCTGGGATCACAGGTGTGCACCACCACGCCCACCACAGCTTCCTACCAGGCAAGGGTTCAAGAGCACCAACCCTAAACTACAGCTGCAGCCCCTCCATGCTCTGTGGCTAACAGCTTAATTATACACAGCTAGCAGGCGATGTACATGTTCATGTGTGCACATGTGTGTGTATGTATGTATGTGTGTCTTCCTCACTGTTTCAGGGTGTCCTCAGTCCCTGAAAGCTCCACCCGGTGTAAGAAGGGACCAGGTGGCCAGCCTGTCACCCGAAGGTCACTGCCTCAAGGGCAGCTCTCATGGGCCTGGGCTCTCACTCTTCCTGGAAACAGAAAAGAGCCAGTGTGGGGCCAGGGCTGAGCTTGGGAGCAGAGCCTGTCCTTAGCACGGGAGATGTGTCTGTAGATGTGTCGGGAGGCTGAGCCAAGAGGATCTCCTCCAGGTCAAGGCCAGCCTGGACTAACTGCATAGTGCAATCCTGCCTCAAAACAACAAAAAGCTGCTCTCACCTCTGTCCCCCACTCCCCATCCTCAGAGCCACCCACCTTCTAACATTGCTTTTCCTATGTCTTCCTGGCCTTGGGAGGGAGCAGAGCAGCCCCTGCTGCCCTGTGTTGGTGGCATCTCCACTGGGACCCTCACTGTCCACATCATCAGGGGACCCAGGTCCACCTTGACCGAGCAGGCCACTGTCAGGCGGGAGCTTGGAGATCCAGGCTGCGTCTGCAGGCTGTCACCACCCCGCTCCAGCTCCCGGTCCTGGGTGCCCCAGCCCTGCCCGGAAGTGGGCAGGCGGAAGTCCTGGGGTCGATTCCCAGAACCGGGGCAGGGCCAGGGCCGGACAAACAGGGCAAAGGTGAGGAGCCAGCTCAGAGCTGCACGGCAACTGGACGGCTCGCCATGAGGTGGACAGCAGTGCCCATGGCGTCTCCCCGAGGGCTGCTTATCCTCCTGGGACTGCTGTGGGGCTCGGTGGCTGCCACCTCGGGCCTCAGGTGGCCTGAGCCTGTGTTCGGGCGTCTGGCGTCCCCCGGCTTCCCGGGAGAGTACCCCAACCTTCAGGAGCAGCGCTGGGCCCTGGCCGCGCCCCCAGGCTACCGCCTGCGACTCTACTTCACCCACTTCGACCTGGAGCTGTCCTACCTGTGCGAATACGACTTTGTCAAGGTGCCACCGCGGAGGATGATGGCCGGGCTGCTGAGGGCTGGGGGGAGCACGAGGGCCTTCGCGCCCCCGGGCCTGGGCCTTGCCATCCCTCCCTGTGACCTCTGACCCCACAGCTGAGCTCGGGGACCAAGGTGCTGGCCACGCTGTGTGGCTGGGAGAGCACAGACACCGAGCGGGTGCCCAGCAACGACACCTTCTACTCGCCAGGCCCCAGCCTGGACGTCACCTTCCGCTCCGACTACTCCAACGAGAAGCCGTTCACGGGCTTTGAGGCCTTCTACGCCGCCGAGGGTGAGCCACTGAGGCCAGGCCACCCCACCCCTGTCCTCAGCCCCCCACCTCCACAAAGAACCCTTCGCCCTGGTGATCTGGGCCTGAGGCGAGGGCCTGGGCTGTTGGGAAAGCAAAGGTCAGCAGCCTGAGCGCTGCCCAGGGCTCGGGGGCGCAGCAGGCTTTGCGTCTTTTTCTGTTGTTTGCTTTTGGAGACAGGGTCCTGCTCTGTAGCCCAGGCTGGCCTCAAATTCAAGATCCTCCTGGGCTGGGGCTGTAGCTCAGTGGTACGGAGCTGCCACTGCCTGGCAAGCACAAGGTCCTGAGTTTGATTGCCCACATTGGGGAAAAAAAATTCGAGCTCCTCCTGACTCAGGCTCTTGAGTGCTGGGCTAGCAGGCAGACACCACATTGCTTGGCTCTTTTCACTAGTTGGGTGGCTTCAGGCAGGACACTTACTCTCTCATTGGATTACACCTGTAATCCCAGAACTCAGCAGGCTGAGGCAGGAGGATCTTGAGTTTGAGGCCGGCCGGGGCTACAAAAGGAGACCACGTCTCAAAAAGCACACACACAAAACAAAGCAAATGAAAGTTGTATTTACATCTCGGGACCCCAGAACTGTGAAGGGCTCGGCCTAGCCCCACTGAGGTGCTGGTTGGCCACCATCAGTCTCCAGTTCCAGGCCAGGCCGGGCCTCTGTCCCGGCTCCTTCCTCCTGATCACCTGCCTGCCCTACCTCTCCCCAGACATCAACGAGTGCGAAGTGTCCCCGGGGGAGACACCACCCTGCGATCACCACTGTCACAACTACCTGGGTAGCTTCTACTGCTCCTGCCGGGTGGGCTACGTCCTGCACGAGAACAAGCGCACCTGCTCAGGTGAGGGAGGACAGGCCTGCCCCCCCCAGCACACCCCACCCCTCCAGGGAGCTCAGGGAGGCAGTGCTCAGAGCCACCTAGCCTGGCCCCAGGGCCCCATGGCCTGATCCCTTGCTGCAGCCCTGCTGGGCGCCTGGACCATCAGTGTCCTGGGGAGCTGGCCCTGACCTGCATCCCCACTTGGGCTCGGTGTACCCCAAGGCCTCACCTTTCTTCCAGAGCAGAGCCTCTGACATGCCTGGCTCCAGCCTGCCCTGGCCCGTGGGTCAGAAGCCGGGGGACACCTTGGGCTGCAGCTGAGTTGGGCGAGACCTGGCTTCCCACAGCACCCCCAGCTGTCCTCAGCAACCACCCACACAATAAACCTGGCTCCCTTGCACCATGCCTGCGTGTCTCTGGGCGGTCGGGGAGGAAGCGGAGGACCCCAGCCCCTTTCCTCAGCAGCCTGAGGGACCCAGCTTGGTGGGGCTCCTCCAGCACCCCCATTTGAGATGAGGCTCACAGAGGGGCACAGTGCTCCCCACTCCTGGTCCCCCGAGGCTGAGCCCCGAGCACCCTTGGGGCAGCTGGGTTCAGAGGTGACTCCAGGTAGAGACCCAGCCAGGTGTCACCCAGGAGCACTCTGGTCCCCCTACAGCGCAGGGGCCATTCCCTCCGCCCCATTAGGAGCTGTATGGAGGAAGAGGGTTCTGCAGGGGCTCCCTGCATCTCGCAAGGCCCATGTTGAGTGCCCGGGCCCCTCACCCTGCAGGATGGAGCCTGACTTCCGACTGCTGTGACAGGCAGCAGGCCGGCGGGCACAGGGATGGCTGCAGGGAGGGAGCAGGGCCAACTGTCACCTGTCACCGCGGACTTGGACTCCCTGAGCTACCCCAGGCCAAGGCCACCCCTGGGAAGGGCCCCCAGAGGCCCTGCCAGATGCCTCTCCCGTGAACCCACCCCGAATCACTGCAGCAAAAGGAGTCGCTGGGGTGGGCACAAGCAGGAAGGGTCCATGAGCGAGAGGGGCCGGCTCCTCCCCTTCCCGAACCCCTGGGGACCACGGGGAGGCTCCCTGCTGCCTCCATCCTGCCGAGTCCACCTGGCAGGGCCTGTCTCCCTCTCACCCTCCACTGTGGGGTGGACAGGCCCTGGGCAACTTCTGTCCCTAGTGCCCCTCCCCCTCTCAGCCAGAGCCTCCAGGCAGGAGGACCCTTCCCTCACAGCCCTCAGCCCTTGGGGGGCTGTGGGGTTTCTGTCAATGGCTGGGGGCTGATCACATGCAGCACCTTGGCAGGTCAGGGACACAGATGTCCCTGGGACATCCCGTCCCCACGCCCACTGCCAGGGCAGCCACCCTGCTGTCCACGGAGAGGGATGGCAGGCAGGTGCAAGTTCCACCACCCGTCCTCCTCCTCTTGCCAGCCCTGTGCTCGGACCAGGTCTTCACCGCGCGGTCTGGGGAGCTCAGCAGCCCTGAATACCCGCGGCCGTACCCTAAACTCTCCAGCTGCACTTACCACATCCGCCTAGAGGAGGGGTTCAGTGTCATCCTGGACTTCGTGGGGCCCTTCGATGTAGAATCGCATCCTGAAAGCCAGTGTCCCTATGACTCCCTCCAGGTACGGGCCCTGGCCATTCCCCCTCAGCCCTGTAGCACCATCGCCCGTGCTGCCCACCTCAGCAACCCCCCTCAGCCTCTCGAGGTCCAAGGCAGGTCCCACGTTGATGGAGGGGCCACTGGGGGGCTGTCCTGTCAGCTCCCCGGAACTGTGGTGGCTTCCCTCTCCCTCGGCCCAGCCCTGGAAACACTGTGCCAAAGCTCTGGGCCTCTCCTGGTTCAGATCCACACAGGCAAAGGGAAGTACGGCCCACTGTGTGGGGAGACGTCGCCCCACAGGATCGAAACAAAGAGCAACACTGTGACCATCACTTTTGTCACCGATGACTCAGGGGACCACACAGGCTGGAAGATGCACTACACAAGCACAGGTGAGCACAGGGCACAGGGTCAGGGCAGAAGCCCAGAGCTTCTCTCCTCCGGAGAGCCAAGGAGATGCAGAGGTTGGGACTCTTCCAGGCCAGGCCCAGGAGGGAGACCAGGCGTGAGTCGGAAGCCCTGTGAGGCAATGGTCCTTGAAGAAGAAACAACAGGTCTTTCCTCCATCTCTCCCTCCGCCCCCTCCATCTACCACCCGGGCGCCGGTCATGCATCCATCCGCTCACCCACCACGCTATCCTCCCATCAACCCTGCATCCGTCCACCCACCCATCTTCCCAACTCATCCATCCCTCATCCCTTCCCAGAGCGGTGTAGCAGGGACAGTCCCCATGGCCCACGCCCTCAGTCCAGTGGTGGGAGAGCAGTCACAGCAACACAGCTAGCTCTGTGACAAGCACAGTCCGAGAGCCAAGCGCTGGGCATGGTGAGAGTCCAGAGGAGGGGCTGGTGCCTGGGCCAGGGGCCGGGCCGGGAAAGCTGCCCTGGAAGAGGGAACCTCTGAGGCTAGATTTGAAGGATGAGCAGGCGTGCAGAGGGGTGTTCCAGGCCAAGGCTGAGGCGCTACTGCTCACAGCGTGCAGGCGGCTGCTCCCCGCCCTCCCCTGGCCTTGGCTCTGCCCTCTGGGGTCCCTGCAAAACTCCCACCAAGGCTGTGCCTGCAGGTTGCTTCCCCAGGGGAGAAAGGTCTGGGCTTACAGGGGAGCAGGGGACTCGAGGAGGGGCCTGAAGCCAGCTTGGGCGCCAGAGCGGAAGTGTCTCTCAGGCGGCCTGAGGCCTGAGCGCTGTGGGGGTCGCTGGGGAGGGGAAGCTGGAGGATCCGGAGTGTGTCTGACTTGAGTTTCTGCTGTCTGGACCCTGGGTGTCTCCCTGTGCCGCCATGGTGTCCCGCGGGGCGCTGGGAAGTGTCACTGCCATCGCCATTCCAAGTCCTCGGCCAAGCACTGCCATAGGGGTCAAACCCAGGGCCTTGAGCTCTGTCACTGAGCTGTGCCGTCTGGCCTAAGAGCTGTGACGTAGGCACATCTCACTCTTCCTCTGAAGCCACTCCCGGTTTCAAGCCGTGTGTCGTGGAACTCCTGCACCACCTTTCCACATGCCCGGCTTTTCTACCTGCCTGCAGCTGAGTCCCAGGCAAAGCAACTGAGGGTCATCTTTTTTCCAGTACCGGGGATCTAACTCAGGACCTTGTGCTTGCCAGGCAGGTTCGGCACCACTGAGCTACATCCCCGGCCCTGAGGTTAATTTTGCCTTTCATGTTAAGAACTCCACTGTACTTGTGGCAGGGTCTCTTCGCCTAGCGTTTCATTTACAAACCAAGAATTTCAGATTTCCAAACCCAGACCTGGCTGCCACAGGTCACATCCACACCAGAGCCTGTTTTCCTCCGCACAGCGCAGCCGTGCCCCAATCCGATGGCACCACCTAATGGCCGCATTTCACCCATGCAAGACAAGTACATCCTCCGTGACAGCTTCTCCATCTTCTGCGATGTTGGCCACGAGCTTCTGCACGTGAGTGACCAGGGGACAAACGGCAGCGATCACGATGGCACACTTACGTTCCTGTTCCTATCTGATGGGCAGAGGGTAGAGACAGCACGGTGGTTTCTTGCCAAGGTTTCAACGGTAAAATGCAAAGAAATAAGCCAGTGCCAGGCAAGAGGGATGGCATGGAGTTTTATTCTGGGTGTCCTGCCTTTTACAAATTTTGAAAGCATGTTTTTGGCGCCGGCGATGGAGCCCAGCGCCTCGTGCACACTAGGCATGCGCAGCTCCACCCCCTCTCCCGTGCGCACCCCCCCCCCGCTACTTTAGAAAGCTGTTGATTAAAATGGGCAACTTTTCTGTCTGTTCACGCGTTCCAGCAGCTGAAACAACAGAAAGACAAGTTCAAGATCGCTATTCTCGTTCTGTGAGCTTGGAGAGCACTCTGTATTAAATTAAGGTCCTCCCCCCTGGTCAACTGATGACCTTCCCCTGAAACAACTCCTGGGCCCACAAAAGAGTGAGATGGCCCTGGGAAAGAGTATATTCTGCACAGTTATAAATAGTGATCACTGTTGAGGGAGAGGGAGTATAATTTTTAAAAATGCTTAGTGGGTTGCTTTAGGGGCACAGGTAGGAGATTAACACGTCCTTTTTATGTTCTTCAAAATTGTCACTGAATCCCAGTGGTAAAAAGTAATAACACTGAAATGATAGCTATGCAGTCCGTAGTCCTATGGAGGGTCAAACCAGGGGAAAATACCACCTTGCACACTTCTTAGCCAGGCTCTTTTCCTAACTCCTTGGATTGCAAATTTGTTCAGATTCTCGCTTTAAAAAAATCTTGATACCCGGGCCAGGGATTTAGCTCAGTGGTTCAGCTGCCTGCCTCGCAAGCACAAGGACCCAAGTTCGATCCCTGGTACCAAAAAAAAAAAAAAAAATCTTGATATTTTTTAAAGCATAAACCTTCTGCCAGCACCATCTTCTTTCACTTTTTAATGTTTGATTTTAGAAAAACACTATTTCAGGAAGACAACAAAGTTTCCCTGTAGCAGGGTGTGGTGGTGGATGCTTACAATCCCAGCACTCTGGGAGGCTGAGGCAAGAAGATTGCAAGTTCAGGAATAGTCTAGGCATCTTGGCAACCCAGAAAGAATCTGTCTCAAAATAAAAAATAAAACAGGGCTAGTGATATACCATAGTGCAAAGGTCTTAGGTTCAACCTCCAGTACCACCACCACCACCACCACCATCAAAAATAGTTTTCTTGGGGCCGGGGATTTAGCTCAGTGGTTCCATCGCCTGCCCTGCAAGCGCAAGGACCCGAGTTTGATCCCCGGTACCAAAAAAAAAAAA